GTGTAGCCAGCGGCGTTCTGCGTGAACCCACTGTGACTAAAGCAGAGCTCAGTCTGAAAACTAAGCTCTCAATATTCAAGTCGATCTTTATACCCATACTTAACTATTGGGTTTTGAATCGTGGCCCATCACTGAAAAACTTCGAACCCGGGTACAAGCTGCTGAAATGGGCCTTCTTAGACGAGTCGATGGCCTTACGCGTCTCGACATGGTTCGGAATAGTGACATGCGGAAGAGCCTTGGAATGCAGCCTTTGCTTCTTCAGATTGAGAAGTCACAGCTGCGATGGCTTGGGCATGTGTTGCGAATACCTCCAGAAAGGAAGGCTAAGCAACTGTTCGTTGCAAATCCGACCGGCAAAATTCCCAGGGGACGGCCAAAATTAACTTGGTGCAAACATATGGAAGGAGCCTGTTCCAGACTGCATTTGTCTTTTGCCGAAGCTCAGACTCTGGCGCAGGATCGGGAACGTTGGAAGAAGCCGTCTCACGCGTCTGCCTCTGCGACCCGAAAGGAGAAGCGGCGATGGAAGATGAAGATGAAGAAGATGGAAAGAAACGTCTCGAATGAGTCTCACACTTCCGTCATCAAATAATTAGCCACTTTTAATTCAGAGCGCGCAGGCGACCCTTTGGAAGGCAGAATGAAAACTATACGAAACGTTGTGAATTCACCCTCAATTGGTGATTAGTGAATTTGGTGATCACCAAATTAGCACCAACGTTTCGGGCTCATGTCTCGCGGGTCTTTCTCAAGTTAGACAGGGTTTATTAACAAAGACGATGTTCGTTATGTGGTACGCAGTTTTTTGTAGGGTTTGGCGCCAAAAATGTTTTCCGTTCAGTGCCGATGGTTAAGTAGTTTTCTACAACAGGCGGAAGGCTTATTCAATTCGTATTTGATCCTATTGTAGGATACGAACTTTGCACAGACTGAATAGGGTTTATCAAGCCTTTTGCCAAAGAACTACATAGCCGCAGCTTCAGCCGAATGCTCCAAAAGTTATAACAGAGGCACCACAGAACAAACTTCAGAGGTCACTGTCCACCTGGAAGAAGGCCTGTTTGATACGAAGCAAAACATCGATACTGATTAATCACTCCATATCAATTTGCATGCGCTGTGCATGAATAATCCTTATTGTTATACAGTTTTCAGCATAATCCCCAACGCACGAACGAAATATTCACCCTTGGTGGTAGATTACTTCTTCACTGAAACCGCAATACTTTTTCTATTTCCGTGATTATTGGATTAGAAGACGCTCCTCTCATCAATTGGGACGGTGACAAGATAAATTTTTCAAAATCTGATGCTGTCAAAATTACCTTAGGTAATATATAAGCATTCGGGCTTCTAACATTTCTTATTTTACGAATGTATAAATGTCAGATAATTTTTGATATATTTTTTACTTCAGTTCTTATGCATTCGTGTAATAGTCAACTTTAGGTAGATATTATTGTAACGTTTAACTTTTTGACCTGTTATGATGGATAAATGTATTTACCAGCTGTATTTAATCCAGCACAGAAATTTTGTTAACTTTTTATAGTAAACAATCACCACATTGGTTTTCCAATTTAAATAAGTACATGAAATTTTCAACCATATAGGAACTATACTCCTACTGTATCATAAATGTTTAACCTCGGAGTACCTGTTTACGATTTTCTCAACGGTTCGAAATCACACCTGTATGATGCTCAGGTTAATTACTGTAGTAATTAATGTGTGCATTATGCTTGGTATTGCGCGCAGGTAATCACATATAGCGAAGGTAATACCGGGTCGCTGTTATGATTGTAATTTGTCGTTCGGCAGATAGCGTGTTGGCGCGTGGTGTAATCTTACAAAACGATGATTGATCGTAATATAGGCTTTGTTGTTACGTAATCACCCATCGACGGTGGTTGTGAGCGATCGCGATCTCGACAGCCGTCCGTCGTGGAATGAAGAATGCATACGGTTCGACCGACAGACGGTGATTGTGTACCTGGACGCGATGAGATGGAGTCGTCCTCTTTCTCCTCCTCGTCGTCGTTGCCGTTGTTGTTGACTTGTTATGATTCCCCGCCGTTGTCGCATTCGTACCCCTGCGGTCATCATAAGAAGCTGGTGGTCGTCGTTGGACGTGACGACGACAGTGATTGTTCCCACGCCCGCACCGGCACCGGTACCCGCATCCGTGATCATCAGCCTACGTCACGGTGGGGGTCTTCGTTCTTCCAGTCCTCCTCCTCACCGTATGATCGTTATTGTTGCTCGTTCTTTTTGCCCGTTGTGCATCGGAAGGTGAGGCGTACGAAATGCGACGACACTCCGCACTGTTGGCCACCGTTCTGCAGTTCCTCGTTGTTTTGTGTCACCTCCCGACTTCCGTTGTCCGCCACGTTGTTTAGGGTGTTCGTGTTGTTGTTGCTTATGTGCTGCTGTGCCGACAGCACCAAACGATTCACCAACAAATGGGCGGTACAGGTGCCGGGCGGCGAGGAGACAGCCCGCAGGGTCGCCCTAGAAGCCGGCTTCTTGTTCGAAGGACACATCATCGCCGACTACTATTCATTCGTCGCCCCCCATGTCCGCAAAAGGTCCCCTCGTCAGGCGCAGAGGTACCTATCCAGTCTGCAGAGGAGTCCAGAGGTTGGTTGAATGGTTTCGTTCGATGGACGAGTGCTTTTTTTTATACGTTTAACGTTTTTCATGTTTCAGGTGGCATGGGTCAAACAGTTAGAGGTGCTCAAACGAGTGAAACGAGACTTTTTACCCCGGCGATCGAGGCACAGTGCCTACAAAACCGATCTGCCAGTGTCAGCCGCTCATCATCCTTACCAATGCTCTTCCTCTGGCGACAAGCTCAATCCAAGTTGTAGCAGTTATTCGTCTATCAACGACCCAGAGTGGCCTCAGATGTGGTACTTGGTAAGTCACAGCCATTCAATCTTTCAATCATCACCTTGCTACTTTTTTGCGCTGATTAATTGAATGTATCAAATGAGCATCTAGCTGATTTTATATTGTACCTCAGTCACGTGGCGAGTTACTACGGAGACCCAAACACAACAACTTTCTTATCAGATAAGTTCGCAAAGTTGGTAGCAACCTCAAAATATTGAGGTTATAGTATCTTCGTAGTTCAAAGAATATTTTGCCTTCTGTCTTCGGAATTTCATTTTCAGTACATATCGTCAAAAATATAACTGTCTAAATTTTCAACAAAGTCATAGCTGGAGGTGCATTAGAGATTTCATCATTTCTTTCAGCATTTCGACTTCCGGTACAGGAACCATAATCTCTGGTGACAATTTAGGCTTGTGTGCCGAAAGCCGAAATTTGAGGATCTAGAAAGAAAATTCGTATCGCACTAATGCTGTTGTTCTGTTGAAAATTGGACAGCTTCAGCTATTGCTTGTGTTGTCATATGCAAATCTGGAACTGGTTCTTTTTATTTTTGATCGACATGATTTTATGATTACATTGAGCCAGACAGAGGAACTCTTAACTCATTAACTTTAACCCAGAGGATTGAATCATCACCTGGAGCAGTCGTTATCAGGCGACCAATCGCGTTTCGGCTGCCACTGTGTTAATATAGTGTATGAAGTTTCGGCAACCGCACACTGAACTGACAGTTGCTTGATGAATTTCATACCTCTTCTAGCCTTTGACGAACCAATGTCTAACTGCAAGACAGAGATGATATTTTCGTACTGTTTTCTTCAAAGGTAGTGTCACGTTCGCCTGTGATAAGATTGCCATAATGTGACTTTTTCCTAAGGAACAAACTAGTCGAATTAGAATTCAACCAGACCCTCGTGATCACATCAACTTCTCCTTTGTCGCAGCTGACTTATGCATTTGGAGTTCGTTTTGCTCCAAATTCGCCATAGATAGCCAACAGCTAGGCACATTGGTGATTGATTCATATCTAATAGAAATTTAACCCGGTATTATGGGTTTACTAAAAAACTTCCAGAGTTCGATACCGTCGGTATGAATAACAGTCTTCTGCCACTTCTCCGGATTTACGCGGCGTAATTCCATCGTCCCCTTGCCTCTAGTAGCCTAGGAAATTGTTTAAGCAAGTCATGGCCCAAGGTACTACGGCTCCTGCAGTACATGGATGCAAAAAGAGCCATTTTGCTGGGTCGAATAGAAGCTTGTTCGAACACAGAAACGAAAAGCTTTGACCCATAGACGTTCGTAACAGTTAGTATAGGAGAATATAGTAAATCCGAAAAATCGACAAGATTGTTGCGCTTTCGAAGACTACCGATTTGCGGCGAAAACTACCTAAAGCTCATAATACCATCGTTACTAGTGTCATTTATAAATAAAGATTGAGTATGTTCACTGGTGTTCCAATAGATTATTGTTCGACCCAAAAAGGTGGTGCGGATTTACGCCCCTGTACTTCTGATATTAAAATAACATGGACAGTATCGCGACTAGTTCTCCTAGTCCACAAGGATCAAGGGATCTACGCCGCGCAGATCAGAAGAAGTAAGTGGAGATTGCTGAATCATATCTATTCCGAAACTTCATTTACATACGATATCTTTCAACAGAAGTACACAGTAGGTTTTGAGTTTTTTTTGCAAGACCAAGGTTTACGGGGCACTCTGATAATTGAAAACAACACGGTGTACAAACAAGGCAAATAATATGGACAATCGGATTATTGATCAGTACCGACGTTTCGGTTATTGTCTCATCATCCTCCTTCAAGTTTGAGAGTTGATGAGCTTTAGAGTTTGTTTTATAGTCTGCACCGGTTCTTACAGCAGTGCCAAAAGGCCTTAAATTTGATTGATGATATTGTTTTCGTTATGTATGATCACCAGCGAATGAGCCAGATATTCAATATTTGTTAATCGATATATAAACCAATGGCATCGTACTGATTTTGATAAACAAACTGATCGTTGATTTACGATTTTTTGGTACAATGAATCATGTAAATTTATACCTAACTTTCAATTTACCAGTACCGAGTGACTCATCCAGGAGCACGTTTGCACTGCTCCTTTGTTCTTAGTTACCTTGGTCACGGCTCCATGTTATTTGAGCACTTACAGTGTCTGATCCTTTTCGCATCGTTTTGCCCGCTTCAGTTACCTAGTACTCACCAAGAAGTTTTTTAGTAACTGATAAGCCTCATACACTGAAGTATAAATGTCATAAGTCGTTCATTCGCTGGAGTTCGTTAAATCACGTGTTACACTTATACAAACAGATTTGATGGTGTATTGCACTGCCGTTTTCATCTTAGTTGTCTTTGGGTGGACATTTCTGCTGGTCACGGCTCGATGCGTATAGTGTCCGTATTTTTCTAGTAAGGTAAGATTTAACTCAAGGGTTTAAAGCAATGATTTTCTGGATTGCATCAGATATTGTCTAGAATGTATTTATATACATTAGTATCTGTGTAGTTTTGTATTTTTCATGCATGTGCACATTTGGTGTTTACCTGAACCTCATCGTCATTTAAGTCCAAAGCGAGGACTAGCAGCCTCATTTTTTGAATGATCCTGTCTGATTTGTAGGGTGATTGTTTTTAATAATTCTGCATATATCTATATATGTATATTCGCTTCCCATGATCATCAATTAAGGTTGAATCAAGCTGACAAGTTAGCTATGCCAGTCCATAATGTTATGCATTGGTATGGCCTGAAACTAATTTGTTTTTCAGTCCAGATCGGTAATGTATGGTTTCTGGATGGTCAGGTGACTGATTATATGGTATTTACGTGTTTCTAAGCAAAGCGAAAAAGAGTGGTTGAACGGTCACTGGGGCGCAGTGATTGTCGCGTAACAGAACCTTGCAGGAAATAATTGCTCTTCCCTCAAAACACAAGTAATTTCTGTTTACGAAGAAGTTAGGCGTTTGCTTTTGTAGTTATGTTGCAGGACATCAGGTATTTACTATAGGCGACGAACTTCATATCTGAGGATCGATGCGTGCAACGTGTTGCATGAAACGTATGTATACCATGCAAGTTATCATTTAAATTGGTGATTCGTCCATGCCGGTATGGTCTGAGACTAATTTTCTTTTCAGTCCAGGCCAATACTTTTTTGCGTAGTTTTTACCGCATTACTCCGTAAGTTTCAGCCTACATCATGGGCGGTATGCTGAGGCTTATATGTAAGAATTGAGTTAAACGCGATATTACCTGTTTTGATATTACCTTAACTCAGATTTCTGCGACACGAACCGAAAACAGTTACCTACTATTTGTACCTGAAGGGATCGCTATGCCACTCATTGTATATAAATCGACTTTTGCGCCTCACTGAATCCCTAATTAACTAGCATTTACTGTATTTATTAATTTTTGATATAAACTAATTTACTGTATGCTAATTTTTAATTATTAAAGTTTTAATACTAACTTAGCGATATACAAAGTTCGACGGTCATATGTTAGTTGTATTTCAAACAAAATGACAGAAACGTAATATAATGGTGTTTCTAATAAATGCATTATGGTCAACATTTTGATTTTTGTCTTATTAACCATTTTAAAAGCATATAGAATTTGGAACAACGAGCGTTAGAAGTCGTCTTGTTCAACTGTTAAAGACACAAGATGAATTGCTTAAACTTCTATATTTTTTGTTTTTAATGATGAAGGAAGTAATTTTAAAGCCCCCTCATGGTTTTTAAACTAGTAGATGTTCTTCCAAAGAAGTTTTCATAAGGATTTGTGCAATGGTTTTGGATTAAATTTTGCAAATATTAGTTGATTTAAATAGATTCTTTTAATTAACAATGATTGGCCAACAGTTGCAAAAGAAGTCTTGGAAGCAGGCACGGTGGAACGGACAAAACGTAAGCTTGACTCAGAATGCACTGAAACGGAGCTGATCATCCAATAATTGGGGTGTTGCGAGGGAGAAATCCAGATCCAGATGACCCTATCCGCAGGTTGATCGTCACCTTGAGATACAAGAACTGGTCTGATCCTGATTTAACTTGTAATAGCGCACTTCGGAATTCGAAATGAGTTATAAATTTTTGTTTTGCACGGCTTGTGCGTCTGCTAATGCGCTTATGTCAAGCAAAGCAGTGGTTGAACGACGGTTGATGCCCTCATATATCACTCTTCCTCTTCAGCTCACACAGAATTTGACAGCAGCCGGAAGTTTCACGGTATACTTCGATAGAATAGAACCGCTTCGTTAACTTTTCCGCTCCATCGACGTGGGTTACGTGATTTACAGCCGACTGGAAAATGTGATTATGATAAGACAACGTTTGAACGTAGTTTATTCGAAACACCCGCATTCCGGCCTGAACCCATTTTCATGCCGTGT